AACTTTTAACATAATTAAAAAGTAAGTGATATCCAAAATATTTCTAGAAAAAAATCAAAATTAATTTTCAATTTTCAATGAAACAAAATTGATCTAGAAACTTTAAATCTGTATTTGTTCGTTTCTTCCTCCGTTTTTCAGTTATATTTCCGATTTCCAGTGTACATATCTACATACATCGATTCTACAAAACGAAGTATATCACGCGGTTTTCTTTACTTTTAAAATGGAAATTGATCTACAGGATTCTACCTTTTGACCATAAACGTGAAGACGCACCTACTGTTATCGCGTTTTCAATTCTAGGTGGAAGCGTGGATGTCGTATCGTTTCTTTCATTTTTGCGAAAATAATATCCAAGGGGATTCGTAACTGGGAACGGGGAAAATGGAATTCTTTGTGGGTTTTCCATTCTGAGTATATGGAATTGTGGGGGGTTATACAAGTAATGGTATTCGCCAATGTACACGCGCGCTGTAAATACGTATATCTCTGAGGAAGAGATGCGCAGATGGACAGAGATATTACATACGGGAAGGCGTCGTATACTACGTATGCAACATATTTTGGCTTTATGTTTTCTTTAGATAAAGATGTACGCGACGTACATATTTATTCAAGGTACTGAAACTAAGAAATGTATTCTGTCAGAATTTTATCAGAAATGTTCTATTTATTTAAATGTATGTATATGTATACACACTACGATTCACTAAACATCTATGTACGAATCTATCTTGAGTCTTATAATAAATAAAATTTTGTAATAATTTCTTATCATAATGCATAATTGTATAAATCAGAAATTATAATTAATTTTGAAGTAAATTCTTTTTTGAAAAATTATTGACTTTTCGAAACATTTGACAATATGTCTTGCAATTAAATTTTGAGTTAAATCAAAGATTTATATCGTTATATATTTTATAATTTTATTTTAAGAAATTTTTAAATATATATCAATCGATAAAGTTTATATTAACATTATTATAATTATACATATAGAATTATATATTGATAATACAATGTATACAAGTCATTTCAGAATAAGATAGAAGAGCAAGCACGCACATACATAATGTTTTGTCACTTTTAATTCCTTTTTAGATAATTTGTAACATTATATCAATATTTGTTAAATTGCTTTTTTAATTTTATAAATTTATTAATGGAGTAATAAATCTATGATACTTTTGAAATAAATA